CCTGCTGCTGCGTAGGAATATGTTCAGCATGTCTTGTAACAGTGCTGTCCAAACCAGATCCTCACCTAATGTTGAAGACAGGGATGGGGAACCTTTCTTCCAAAATGTAGCCCTAAGGAGAAAGTTGCTGTGCTTGCACTGTCTGTACTGATCCCTATTGCCCCTGATGGATTGATTCTGCTCTGGTGGCTCTTAGATCCCACCTAGAGAGGATCAGATGCTGTAGGACCACACAGCAGCCCCTATTTCCTTCCCTCAGTAGCTCATGATCTAAATAAAAGCAGCCAAGCTGTGCAAGGCTCATTTGATGGAGAAGTTGGGGCAGAGGGGAGAGGAAGGAAGGGTTTGGAAATGACAGGTGGAGCAGGAGCACCATGGAGCAAGGGAGGGGACAGAGATTAGAAGGAGCTGATCAAACCCAGCAGTGACCAAATGGACAACACCTCTCTGAGCCCTCAGTGCTGATGGCTACTGAGGGTGCACGGGATCACTTCATCTTCTGTCTGGGGGAGGAAGGGTGCTCTGGCTCCTCTCCTAACCTGCCATCACTCATATATCAGGCTGGTTCCCACCCGCCGTCCAGCAGCGCGTCAGCGAGAACCCCCAGTGCGTCACTCGCCAGCAGGGATTTGGGTTGTTCCGTGTTACGGTGACATTTCCCATAAACAGCAGCTTTCACGGGGTCTGGCAGCTGCTCTGCTGGAGTCTATTGGCAGAGCAGGGCCTCTCCCAAATAGCTCTGCTGATGTCTGACCTCCGCAATCTGGCTTGCTGGGAATTTTACTTTCCTTTCTATTCATACCCGTTCTCTTTAACAGCTGCTTTTTGGGCAAATATCTTCCAGTGTCTCCCCTTCCTGCCTGTGAAGGGATGAAACTGGGATTATTCGGAGCTGCTGGACTTTGCTGGGTGACATCTGCACCCATGGCATTGCTGCTGCAGAAGGCATCTGCTGCCATGCCCAGGTGCTGCCTGGCTAACACTCTCCCAGTGTAATAAACTGAGTTCCCATCACTTCTTCTGGTGTTCGGGTCTTCCTGTCTCTGGGGTGGATGACAATTGCTTGGGCTGTAGGTATCACTCTCCTGGGTTGAGTGGCTGCCTCGGTGGGGGTCGTATGCACTGAGAGCTGCTCTGGCACTGCTCTGACTGCCTGTTTCTCCCCAAAATTCAGACCCGTGCTGAGCCACACGACTCCCAGCAAGGAAATCTGCCAGCATCTTGATCTCCACTTCTCCTGGCTGTAGAGGAGGCATGAATCCTGCCCTGCCTTGGATCCTTCCTCTTGGATGTGCACTGCTCCTGTCAAAGGCAGCTGAAGGCTTTATCTTGCCCAACTCGAGTCACCTGGAGAACATTTTGAGCAAGTATCAGGATGGGGAAGCTCACTCCAGATCCAGGAGAGCCATTTTATTCTCAGACAGACAGGAAATATTGATGCTCCACAATAAATTGAGAGGTCAAGTGTACCCGGAGGCTTCTAATATGGAATATATGGTGAGTCTAGTTCCTGACACCTAACTTTATTATTACTATTATTTTTTAAATTTATTTAATTTTCCTTATGGTGCAAGAGGTGTAGCAAATTTCCTCTAAGTAAGTTTTCCTCAAGAGGTTTCCTGGAGCGTTTTCATTCCAGAGTGGATGATGCTTTAGATCATTGGACTGTTTTGCTTGGAAAGGGCCACTGATGGGTCATCGGGTCCATCCACTGCATAGTCTCAGGACTGGTTCCATTATTCATAAACCAGTGTTTGGCCCAGCCCTGGATGCATCTCCAGTGATGGCAATTCCATAGCCTGCCTCAGCAGGTTCTTCCATTACCTTAATGTCATAAAAGCATCAAATTTTCCCTAGTGTTTAACCCACATTCTCCTTCTGAAAGCTTTAAGATGGTTGTGACTGGATGGCACAGTATGCTCTGAGAAACCTCTGGTGGTCTTTGGTTTGCCCACCTCTGAGAGGTAACATCTGCCCTTTTGTCATGCACTGCTCACCAGAGGTTGTCAGGGTGAGCCAAACGTCCACGGTGCTGCTGGGAACCTGCTCAGCACCTTAGAGAAAGGAAGCCTGAGGAACGTGGCTCCATTTGCAACACAGTTCAGTCCCTGGAATTAGCTGCAAAAACTCTGGGAGTTCATGGGTAGATGGGTCAGTGTCACCAGCTTTTTGTAGTTCAAGAAACCAAAATAAAAGTTTGGTCAAAGTATTCTCCCACTTCAGAGGGTGAACTTAAAAGTAGGAATATGAAATATGCTTTTACCATCAACAATTCAGATGAATAGTTTTTCTTCACCTGATGCCAGAGGCCCTACTTTGAGCTATTTTTGACATGTCATCAAAATACTGCAGGGCCAGAAAACGATGTAGGCAAATAATGGTTTTTTTTGGTGCCTTTTCCCAATGTGCAAATATAGTTATGACCAAAGCCAGCCTGACTGCAACTGTGTGCTCCTGCTGACAGATGAAATGATTAATGACCTGTTAAGACCGTGTTAAAAAGGGTAAAAGAAACAGTACACTGGATGTAATATAAAATTGTTTGCCAGCTGTGCTTAAATGAGTGCTGCAAGTGGAAAATCTTGCCTTCTTTGACTGGAGAAGGGGGAGCTCAGGACAGTGAGGAAGGACAACTGCCCATCAGTTGGTCCTCGTTGGATTCCCAGCCCTGGTGTCTCTCCCCGCTTTTGTCAGGACTCTTTCGAAGAACTGGTGCTTTGTGTCTCCACGGGCTCTCCCGTTATCCTGCAGGCAAGGTACTGCCAGAGAAGAGGTGACTTGATCCATTTCCAGCAAGTAAACACAAAGCATGAGAAAGCCAAACGTGTTTGGGTTGGCTTGGAGGATCTGAGAGGGTTGCCACTGCGGACAGGCCACTGGCCGGCTGCTGTTGACACTTGCAGCGTGGTTGCATTTCTCTGTTTGCCTTTGCTCAGTGTGCTTTTCTAGTGGTTTTGATGGGTGATTGAGGGCAAATGAAAGGGCCTTGTGTGCTGTGAAGAAAGAAGCTGAGTAAAAGATGGTGCTGCTTGGAAAGGCTATAATCAGTCTTTCATGTACTCGTGTTTACCCAATATTGCTTGGAAATGCTGTGTGTATTCTAAGAGTGAATTTCACTTCAATCCTTTGTTCTGCAGAGGACATTTCTCATTTGGACTTATTTAAGAGGCTGGTCTGTGTTTAGTACCATAGATAAAGTTTTTTCCTCTGGTGCCAGTGCTGAGTGCCACAGGTGACGTGTGGTGCTGAGCTGAGGACAAGTGGGTAGAACTTGTCCTTGTCCATCCATCTCCAAACTCTGCCTTGAGAAAATCCTTTCTCTCAGCTCCGTATCTGATGTATTTAACCATCTAAAGTGGCAAGGGGAGCTAATGTATTGCAGGAAAGGGATGTACTTATCTACTCCAGGATGAACTTTAGTCTGTAGAGGCTGTTAGTAAGGAAACAGTAACTCAGTGAGTCCCATGACTTATCTGGGGATCAAAGGAATTGTGTACACATGGGATAAAGTAAAATGGAAGGAAGAAGTGAACAGAAATGGTTTTGCTGCTGGGTTTGGATAATGAATTGAGAGGTAGCACAGGTATTCAGTGTTAATAGAAAATGGGTGAGCAGTGCACATGTCCTGATGAAGTTGGTGAAATGCAGAATTACCTTAACCCTACAACAGCTTTATAATCAACACTTCCACTCTGTGTTTGCACTTCATAGCAGCAGTCACGGCAGTGGAGGGATGCCAAGAGCAAAACAAACTCCTTGTTAATGAACCCAGAGTAAAAAGGACATAATATTTCTGAAGACATCTTGACCTTTTAAGATGGCTTAGTCAGATGGCTTTCAGCAGTGATGAGAGGCAGAAGTTTTTGCTCTTCTGGAGGCCCCAAAGACAGCTGGATAAAATGAAGTTGCTGTCAGTACAGATTGCTGGAAGGAAAACAGTTTGTTTTCATCTATAAGGTATCCATTCTTCCTTTAAACTGAAGGGTGGTGTCTTTCCTTGTCAGGATGGGATAATATTTCTGTTTGGGTTAGCAAGGCATGTCCAAACTTCTGCCAGTACCTGTCAGTCCTGCAGTCTCATGCCACTTTTAAAAGCAAATTGCCAATATTGCAAAAAGTCTAAGCTGGGAAGACAAGTGAATGAGCAAGCACATTGCTGCAATTCAGGTGTCTAGGGTCAGCTTTACAGACTAGTTAAGATGGGTAAGTAGACTCCTTTTGGGGTACATTCTTTTCAAATCTGAACCTACTAACTGTACCGTAGTATGTGTAAGCCCTGCATGTTTTTTTATATCTACAGTCTGTACTGTTCTTTGAAAGGCCATAACAGATTTGCAGGAGCAAAAAGAGAGTGCATGTGCTACATCACTTGGAATCTCACAGACCTGAGGGCTTCTCAGCTGCTGCTTGAGAAGGAAGCTGAGCACAGACCTGCTCTGCCCCTCTGGCTTCAGTCGTCTTCTAGATACTGCTTTGAATATTGGCATAAAAGGATACTGCAAGAGTAGCTGGGAGATTCTGAAAACTAACTTTTTTTTCATAAGTCTGTTGCTCTGAACTAAGTCCAGCCCCCTGACCACATTCACATCGGAGAAGCAAGAGGCAAATAACTGCTTCTAACTGAAGTGGGATGCCTTTGTAACCTGACGCCTGCAGAAACAAGCTTCTCTACTCACCAAGCACAAAGCCATGAAAAGATGTAGCTCATTCCCACTTGCCTGTTGAGTGTCTTTTGTCTGAGTTCATTTGTTTTATCCATAGGCATCAAAGGAAGATGTAACACGTATGTTCACATCAATTTCCATTTAATGGTCTCTTGCTCACAACGTCTCTGCATTAAATTAGGAGATTTGGAGCATCTCCACCTTTGAGGCTGCAGGGAATAATGCTTTGCTAGAAAGTACAAGCAGGACTTAAACTTGGGAGAGTTGTTCTGTGGCTTGTGTGTTGGATGGGAAGGCAGATTGTGGCTGGTCATCGCCCGCTGCAAAAAGTAGGAGACCACAAAACGTTGTGTGTCTAGGCACAATGGCAACAGTCTGCTTGAACAGAGGCTTGGAAACGTGCTTGTGGTGGGTCAGATCCTCTGCAGTTCTAAGGAGCTGGAGTGCTGAGATGGAAAATGGTTTGTTTCCTTCTTTCAGGGCTGTGTCTGCCTGGGATTTTGCAGACTGACAGGAGTTTTCTTGGCCACTGGTCAGTCCAAAGCCAAGCTGATGAGCTCAGGGCAGCTCTGGGATGTTGTTGGAATTTGGGTTGCTGAGCATGCTTAATGATAAGCTGTTCTCAGAGGCTTGGGCTGTGAGCTCAGTTAGATGAGCTCATGTTTGCCTTAGGAAGATAGTGTAGACACACCACGTTCCAGGAGACTCGACTTTTTCCTTTCATCTTAGCCAGGGACATGTGGTCCCTCCACCTCCCAGTTATAACTGCCCAAGACTGTGTTCAGATACTTACTCAGAATGAGCACTTAATGTTTTTTAAGTGTGGTTGAGAGCCTCAATGCTCTCTGGTCCTTCAAATGGGCTCTGATGGGTCCTTTGGTATGTTTGAGATCAGGAGCTGCTTTTCTTACGGAGAAGAGAGACGTTGGAAAGACCAGTTGGTTGTGGTGATGAATGTCCACAGAGGACATAATGTCACTCTGGCACATGAACAGGCTGGAGACACTTTACAAGACCTCTCTTCTCTTTGCTTTTATTTGTAGGAATGTGCTGTATTATTTTAATCCCAACGAATTATCCTCTAAGGACTGTTCTGAATGGACCAGCTGTCAGTAATTACACAATGAATTCAGGGCACTGTCTGCTGGGTCCAGCAAGTCTGGCCTTTAAAACAACTACACTCCTGGGCAGTGGAACCAGTGCAGCCTGCTTTTCTATTTGCCTTTGTCTTGTGTTTGAGCTCTCGTTTGGCTTAGAGCTGGGTGACATTCATTGAGGGCTGATCTCACACCAACATCCTTCCCTCAGTGGGAACATAAATGGGATTTGCTGTTTATAGAACCGTAGAATCACAGAATGGTTTTGGTTGGAAAAGACCTTTCAGATCAAGTCCAACCATTACTCCAACCCCGCCAAGGCCACCACTAAACCATGTCGCTCAACACCACATCTACATGACTTTGGAATCCCTCCTGGGATGGTGACTCCACCACTACCCTGGGCTACCTGTTCCAGGGCCTGGCAATCCTTTCAGTAAATAAATTGTTCCTAATATCCAAACTAAACCTCCCCTGGGTCATCTTGAGGCCAGAACCTAAACCTTCTCAAACTTTTATCCTGATGCCTGTTTCAGTGAGAGTGATATTAGTTTAACAGCTCTGGGACTTTGCTGCCTCTGTAAAATTTGGCTGCATCCCTTGGTGGACTCAGCAGATATTCTGGAAGGAGAATGGGACATGGGAACAGGAGGCTCAGATTCACACCCTTTGGTCAAGAGGTTGGCCCAAAAATCTCCACCTGTGTCTGTAGTGAAGGGCAGGAGCACATCTACTGTTGGAGTTCCCCTGGGTGGGAAAGCCAAGAAATGTCCTGGTAGTAAGGACAATGGATGGAAAACCATGCAGCAGCTACATCAGAGCACTGAGTGTGTGTTAGAAGTCTTGCTGATCTCAGAAATGTGTGTCATGAAATGAATGTCTTATAGTGTTTTAGGAGGATGGTCTCGATGGGTTCTCAAGGTCTTACCAGTTCTATTTTCTGCTGATCTGTGCATCTCCTAAGCAGCAGGACATCAAGCAGGAAGAATCACAGACCTTCTAGGACCCTGCATTTCCATGGCAGGGGGACATCTTGAGAAACTTGCTTGTAGGTCAGGGCACATCAGTAAGATGTGCTGGCTTCACAAGGGCAGGCCAGACACCAGGGGTGAGCTTTCATTGTCTCTCTCTTTCTCCTCTAGTTGCTATTGGTCGACTCTCTTCATCTAGTAAGCCTGACATGACACGTTGACCTGTTCTTTTCTCTCCCTACCCCCTGCAGACCTGGGATGAAGAGCTGGAAAGATCAGCCCAGGATTGGGCTCAGCAGTGCATCTGGGACCACGGGCCCAGTGCCCTCATCAGGTCGATTGGACAGAACTTGGCAGTTCACTGGGGCAGGTAAGAGTTGGGGTGCTACCAGCTCATTGCCCAGAGCAATTTATGGATCCTCTTCAAGAGCTGGCTGGAAAGGTTTTCCTTGTTGATGCTGGCACTGGGGAGACAGGAGAAAAGGGGAGGTTCAAACTGGTTTTGCTGCAGTGAAGGGGTGATGTGGTAACACCTGCAGCCACCTTCAGCTGCCTGCTCCCAGCAAACCAACCCTGATGTGGGTTATTCCACTCCGTGGACTCCCTGGTGATGCAGGTGTAAGGTGCCTGAGATCACTCACTCTCACTTCTTCAGAACTGCTACAGAAGCCACAACCTTGCTCCTAACTCTGCTGTTTTGGGGGGTTCTGGCACCATGCTGAGAGCCAGTTGAAAGTTGATGTTTCTCAGGAACAATGTTTGGACTTGCTGCAAGTTCAGGGCTCATTGCTGTAAACTTTTTAGTTCTCTCTTGCTGTATTTCACATAAATATTTATCCATCTCCTAATTTCTCTTCACTGAAACCAGTTTGCAGATTTTTGGTTTTATTTTTTTCAACTTCCTGGGGAAAGTTTTAACCTAGAGCTGTCAATCTAACTAGGAAAGCTGATTTTAAGGCTTCTAAATGAATTTGCCTCTCCATCTTATGGTGAAATTTGTCTATTTTCAAGCCCCTGTTTTTAAGCCTGTCATAGGTGAAGGTGAAACACATTTTGCATGTGCTCAGGAGCTCTGATGGGTGGAAGTGCAGTTCTGCATGTCGTAAATCAGGTAGATGGAAATGTGCTGGTGTCAAATTGGCCTGATATAAAATCGGGGCCTGCTTTTGTTGGCAGAATTAAATAATGTTTGGAAAGTAGAGTGGTTAATCCATTGGAGACAAAAGAGCTGGCTGTTCTTGGCTCCCCTGCAAGTGTTCAAGATGGCCATGGGTTACTGGTGGGGGTAGATCCAACCTCCCTCCCTTTGCAGTCACTGAGAGGAAAAAGAATTCCCTTATCTCAGTTTTTTCAGGAACGAGCCATAACTTGATTGTCTCCATTTCCTCTCCTGTAAAAGAAGGATTCGGAAAGTATTCACTTAATGACATCATGAGATGAATGTTTTTAAAATACTTCTAATGAATGATTTTTAATGAAGAGCTGGCTGAAAGAGCAAGCTCCAGTTGGTAATGATATCATTTGCATTTCTGGCCTCTTACTCCATGTGAGTGGCTGAAAGCAAGAAAAAATAGTGGGTTTGAAGCTCTGCCTTGCTTTGATACAGAGTTTGCAGGTTGCTCTGGCTGCTCAGTGTGTATGGAGCATGTGAAAATGTATATGAATGTCTATAGGAGGTTTTAACCCTGTTTGTGTCTCCCCCAAAGGCACAAGTAGCCTCAGTGCTGCAAAAAACTGTGATTTCTGGTGCAGGGTTTGCACAAAGTACACGTGGGAGCTGGGCCTGCTGCAGGGAGCTAAATCCCAGACCAAATGAGCTCCCTGTGGCTTGGGAAAAAATAACAATTAAAAAAAAAAAGCTCAATGTTGACTGATGACATGTGCTGGGGAGGTGGCTGGAATAAAAGGTGGGACACGTGTAGGGCACCAGCTGCTCTGCTCTAACTCTTGGTGTGGTGTGAGTGTGAAGAAGCCCACTCACTTTCTAAGGTCTCACAGAATTAACTGCTCATGTACTTCCAGATTTAGCAAATTGCCTGGTGGTAAAATAGGTACACGATGGCTTTTGATTTAAGGTGTTTGGTAAACCTTCACTTCTGTTTGCTTTCAAAATACAACTTTCTGCCAAACTAGAAGGGGTTTTTTTTTGTAATTGTATGGAAAAGTCAGGAGGACATTTCAGGTCAGTGGCACTTGAAGTGCATGTCAAACCTATAAATAATACAGGAAGTCAGACCAGGCTGTGAATCTTAGGGAAAAGAAATAATCTTTAATATTTTAAAATTAGGTTTTTTTTTTTTTTCCCAGTCCATTAGCCCACGATACTGGGTTCTTTAAGCAACACCTTCCCAAGGAAGGAAGTGATGAAACTTTTATATAAAAATCAGAAAAAAATGCATTATAAAATTCTGAGCTTACAGTGTGGCAGGAGGTTATGGGATCTCCTACCAGAACTCTGTGGTTCAAACTGGTTTTGCTCTGCCAGGTATCGCTCTCCAGCTTTTCACGTCCAGGCTTGGTATGATGAAGTCAAGGATTACTCCTACCCTTACCCTCACGAGTGCAACCCCTGGTGCCCGGAGAAATGCACCGGCTCCATGTGCACACATTACACCCAGGTGAGAGAAACCAGGGGCTCCTGTACATCCACCCTCCGTGACCCCCAGCTGTCCCTGGGACCTGTGCCCACAGCAGGGCAGTTTCCTTACCTTCCACAACTGCCCTTGCAGATCGTCTGGGCCACGACGAACAAGATCGGCTGCGCTGTCAACGTCTGCAAGCAGATGAACGTCTGGGGAGAAATCTGGGAGAATGCTGTCTACCTGGTCTGCAACTACTCGCCCAAGTAAGGCCAGATAAGCTGGGCCAGCTCCAGCTTCCCAAAAACTGGCAGGTTGCTTAGCTAGCCCAGGATCTGGGGGAAAGATTTCAGGCAGTCTAGACTGGTGGCTGTGGCTTTACGTTCTCTTTTTAGCCGGCACCACAGGGGCTGGTTCAAGACTTTGTGCCTGGAAAACTGAATGAGGGGCCCCAGAGCTTTGATGTTCCTGCTGCAGGGAGGAGGAGCAAGAGATGGCCAGGATGGAGCTAGCAGGGTCTGCCAAGCCAGGCTTGCTGTCTCTCTGCTGCAGGGAGGGGGTGGTGGTACCCAGCCAGGTGGGCTGTGACGACTGACACATTTTCCCCTCCCTCCCCCTGCACACTCTGCTGGGTTAACCCCACCAGTGCTCCATGCAGAGCCAGCCCTGCAGTGGTGCTGCTGGGAGCACAGGGAGCTGGGCCTGCTGCAGGGAGCTAAATCCCAGACCAAATGAGCTCCTCGTGGCTTGGGAAAAAATAAAAATTAAAAAAAAAGTGAACTAGCTCAATCTGGACTGATGCAGTTAACTCAGTGGTTTGATTACATTTCAAAAGGAAAATCACTTGTCTACTAAGTCCAGGAGAAGTTTCCTTCCTGGCAATGGGAGTTAATATTTTCTGCTTTAGTGGCTAATAGGAGAAACATTCCCACTCCAAGCCCTTGGTGCTTTAAATCTTAGCAACCAAATGAAATAGGGGGATCACTGTACAGAAATGAAGTGGCTTGGAGAGCATCTGACTTCTGGAGATCTTAGGGCAGAATAACACAGAGAAAAAATATGTGTGGGTATAAGGCTGGCAGCTCTTTATAAATATGTATTGTACCACAATCCAGGCAGAGCTCTGCAGGTGAGTTATCTGAGCCCCTCTCCCCACATCAGCTGCTGAGCCTGTTGTAGTTTGGTGGGATTTAATAACCTGCTCCTCATTTGGGGTCACCCTGTCTCCCATGGAGCTCCCGCAGCAGGCTGGGCTGGTTGCACGTCATCCATTCAGGGCTGCTGGATGGAAAAATGCTCTGGTTTCTGCAGTTGCTGCTTAATCTCTTCTCTCTGGCACTGATGCATGTTGTCCTCATCTAGCCTTACAGGTGGAGACAGCTGAAAGAGCAATAATCAAAGGGTTTGTAGCTATGGGCTGAACTTTGGCTCCTTCAACCTTCTCAGCCCCTAAAGTCTGCAGTACAGGGGGCCAAAAAGGGCTTTTGTTTCTGGGTACTTTCTTGAGGAAAATGCAGTGATCCATTGATTTATTTCTGTCTATAAGATAGCAGTATTTATTTAAGTAAAACCCTAAAAATGTCATCTTGGAAGTGAAATGAAGAGGAACATTCTTCTTACAAGGCTTTCCTGGGTTGGTTATTTAGTTTTTGTTTAGTTGCTCTGGGCTAGGGCAGTGTTTCTGTGGCCTCAGAGGCAAAACTGGGGACTTGAGGATGGCCAGGTTGGGTGAGAAGAGAGTATGAAGTGCTGATTTGCTTCCCAGATGAGCTGGCACAGGGGATGTGTGTATTCCGGGTGTTTTTCTGCTTGGAAATGGTTTTGGATGGAAAATGGAACAGCTTTTAAATGGTAAAGATCTGTGCTCCAGCCCTGCCCCATGTGTTGCAGAAGACGATGGGGCACTTGTGGCTCTGCTGAGCTAGAGAGATGCAGACAAGTGTTGGGCAAATGGGGGGCAGGAGACAGGCAGTCCTGAGCCCATGGAGCTGCCGCAGGAGGACAACAGGCAGCAAGGAGTGGGAAGAGCAGGGACAGGCCATCTCTGCACGATTCCCATCGTATCCAAGGATGAGCACAGCACAAACACCCCCCTTCCCCGCTCCCTTAGCACCAGGCATTCTCAGGCCCTTGGGTGGGTAGTTGGGTGGCTGGTGTCTGACCTGTACATCTTGCTCCCAGGGGCAACTGGATTGGAGAAGCTCCCTACAAGACGGGTCGTCCCTGCTCCGAGTGCCCACCCAGCTACGGAGGAGGCTGCCAGAACAAGCTCTGCTACAAAGGTACGTGGAGATGGGGGGGCCTTGGGGCATCCTCTTGGGTAGGGGGAAAAGCTGGAGTAAACTCATGCCTGGATACCTTTAATTAGAAGCAGGGGCAGCTTTACGCACCTTCATGTTTTGACATCAAGGCACGTGGCAAATCGGTGCCACCACCAAATCAGTGAACTGCTTCACATCTGGAGCTTGGATTCGGTGCCTGTTCCCCTGTGGAAATGAGAATGGGTGCTCAGAGTCTGGGGGGGAAGCTGCTCTGAGCTTCATGGGTTTGGCACGGGAGCTCCAGTGGGATTTTGAATTCTGAGGGCAGGAGTGATCCCATCCTTGTGGGGTTGGTTTGGGAAGGGAATGTTCTTCCACACTTCCTAGAGGCGATGTGGGTGGGCAGAGCTTGGCTGCCTGCCCCACTCCTTTGGGGGCTGGGGATGGAGCATTTCCCTCTCTCCCCACCTTGGTTTTCAGGGCTGCAAAATGAATACAGTGATTTGTGTCTCTTGGAGGAGAAGAGGGGATTGTGGATGAATTTTCCTCCCATGTGGAATCTCTAGAAAATATTATTCACACTGAAGCCTCCAGTGAAGCAGCATTATCCTCCAGCACTTGGGGGATTTTCTGGAGTCAGGCATTGAGGGCATTTTTCTTCTCCAGTGTGTTTTGCTGAACACAGAACTGGCTCTTAGAAGCAGGCAAGTTCCCCAGAGACCTTATTTTGCTGCAACGTTGCATTTGTCATTTTTAACCTGGGGTTATAGATCTAGAGGAGGTCACTGGGGTGCAGGTGGGCTGGTGTCCCTGTGGCAGAAAGCCCTGTTGGAGCCACCATCCATAATCCCTTGGTTTTCACCATTCCTCTCCTCATTGCTGAGGACCAGAGCAGTGCAGGGTTTTGGGTAAGACCTGCCAAGCAAAATGGATTTTGCTGGCATGGTTTCCCAAATCCCTTTGCCCAGCTGCAGGCAGCTTGTTCTCCATCAAAGGGTACAGAGAAGGGGTGAACCTGCCCCAGGTGCTGAAGCCAAGACCATGCTGTAGCAGGACCTGTGCTTTACCAGAGGACTGGCTGAAGTCGTGCTGATGGACTGGCTTGAAGAAGCAACCCTGGGTGGCATGAGAGAAGATTTCAGCCACCTTCCCAACTACTAGGGCCCTCTTCTTGCACATGCCCTTCAGCAAATGTATGTTGGCCTCCAGAGTGAAAGAGCTGTGTGGGGAACAGAAGAAGTAATAGCAGCACTATTATCATTATTATTATTTTACTAATTATTTGGGATCATTGAAACCTTCATGACAAGATGCTCTACGTGCTACTTCGTGCAGAGAAGCAGGAGAGGAGCAGGTTTCCCTCCTGGTGCTGCACTGCCTGGCAATAGCCCTGTGCTGCCTTCAGTGGGCATTTCTGAGGTTCCCACTATTTCAAAGCAGATCCTTGTCACACCTCATTACCTCCCTCAAAATATGAACATGCTGTAATTATTTACAACCCCTTTCCCT